CACCTCTTTCTTACTTTTTCGAATATTCAGTACAGTCATTCTAATTACTTGTACAGATTATCTTCACGGTGGGTTGTGTTGTGATTTTCGGATTATACTCGATTCGAAAACACACAAAAAATTAAGTTTTCGGTCGATTTCATCCCAAAATTTTAATCTGATCATCACCGAAAATTGTAGGCGTTGTTCTTGACCATAACTGGAGCTTCATGAAAAATTTTAAAGCCATCAGCTCGATATTTCCCCCTCTAATGTGGTAATGGGTTACTAAATAATATCTGAATACGTAAGTAAATATTTGACTGTAACTCCCACATCTGAGTAGATACATCACTATATTTGGTATCAATTTAAAGGCCAACCACTCCTCTTGGATATGTTATCAACTCCTCGGGTCTACATCCTCCAGTAAATATATATGCCATAGAATACAAATTTTGTCATTTTTCACACAAAAGTCAGGGTCCATTTGACCCGCTAAATATTGACCGATTTTTATCAAAACATGCATGCTTATTCTCTGGCCCGATCCCCTTCTCCATGCTAAAATTCGCGGTGTTTGGGCCATAATTGGAGCCAGAAAAAGCGACCAGATAAACGGACAAAAAGAATGTTTTTGGTCCATTTCATCCCCTAAATATTAATCGATCTTTTCCAAAAACAATAGGGGTCTTCAATGGCCAGAACCCATCCTACATGCAAAATTTCGTGAAGATTGGTCCATAACTGTGGCCTGTATCGTGTTTACAAATTATAATGGACAGACGGACGGACACACATGTCTAGATCGACTCAGCTAGTCGAGATATGACGATCTGTATACTTAAAGGTGGGTCTAGGATCAATATTTCGCTGCGTTACAAACATTTGGGGCTGCACAAAGCTATAATACCCTGACAACATAGTTGTGTAGGGTATAAAAACGACAAATAATTAAAAAATTACTTTTTTTTGAACGAAAATATTAGAAATATTTTTTTATCCTTGGAAAGAAATGTTATTTAAAAATCCACGCCTTGTTTGTTCTTGATATTCTTTTAAATATTGATATTCGATATCCAAAAACTGATGTTCTATTGAATTTAATAAAATATAAATTCAAATATTTAACACAACAATAAATAAAAGTGCTCTTTCGAATATCACATTAATGTCATAATATTGAGAATATAAATAAATGTTATGGTTCTCGTAAATCATATTAAGCAGACATAAAAGTTTCCACAAATTCGATGAATAAGAGGCAGCCTACATGCACGTTTAATGCATTTACCAGAATATTAAGAAACTCTGTTTTCGTAAATATTCCTGCAGAAAACTTTTGGCAACATCTCATTAATAAATGTATACCTGCAACTACTAACACACATAATGGAATTATTCCTTAACATAATGCATACTAGGTGGCTATGACAACGTTAACGTAATGTTGGCCATCCCAACACACACACAGTCCCCTCTGCCCCGTACTGCATTAAGAGTATCAAGCGTATTAATGCTCTATACTTCATGTAGACGGAATATTTGATTTGTAATACATTTACAAGATTGCACGAGCAATGGCCGATCTATATGTCGCTTATAGGAGCGTGTCCACAACTGGATTAGAGCAACTGGAAAAAAGACAACAAGATTACACAATACGCAGTCCAAAAAACAAGGTAACTATTAGACAACCTGAAACAAATATGAAAGTACAGGCAGATTGAATGAATGAAAAGTTAGCCGACTTATGACATATGTAGGTATGTTTGTATGAACGAGTGTGTGTGTGTGTTTTGTAGATTTGTTTGTTTTGAGATATACATAAAAACAATGTATAGCACTTCAGTAGCATAGTTTGTTGCAACAACATTTTGTAAGTATTTAATTGGGAGTGGTAAATTGTAATTGCAATGATGAAGACATTAATAACAACAAAATAATCAAAGAAGTGGAAAAACTTCCGTTTCGTTACTTGACGTCTTAATTTTTCTTTCAGTAATATTTTCAATATTTTTTTAATAATAATTTTTCCAGGACCAAAGCTTGGAGTTTATTTTTTATTATTATTATATTATTATTTTTTTATTTTTTATAGATCAAGTAATGCCTGGCATTTTTGAATACTATTTTTTTAAGGACCAAACGAATATCTTTTTCGAGGACCAAACAGGTGTGACTACTTTAAAAAATATATTTTCAATGGCCAAACTGGCGTGGTTACTTTAGAGAATATTTATACCCTTCACCACACTGTGGTACAGGGTATTATGTCGTTGTGCATATGTTTGTAACAGGCAAAAATAATCGAGATAGACCCATGGTTCCTTTTGAGAATATGCATAGAATCACTTTCTGAGTCGATCTCTCCATGTTAAATAGTAAGCAAAGCATTTATGATCCGAATTGGATGAAATTTGGCACAGCTCATTTGTTTGGTCCAAGGACGAACCCTATTAAAATTGGGAAAAATCGGTTCAAATTTAGATATAGCTCCCATATATTGTTTCGTCCGAGTTGAGGTAAATTGTGTACCTAAGTCTCTATATGTCTTTCGATTTGCACGAAATTTGGCACAGTGTAGTGAATAAGGTCTAGAATGATGTCTGCCCAGTTTCGTGAAAATCGGTTCAGATTTAGATATAGCTCTTATATATTAAGGTAAATTGTGTACCAAAGTCCCTATATATCTTTTGATTTGCACGAAATTTGGCATAGCGTACTAAATTAAGTCTAGAATGATGTGTGCAAAGTTTCGTGAAAATTGGTTCAGATTTAGATGTAGCTCCCATATATATATTTTCGTCCGATGTTATGAAATTGGTGCACTAAAGTCCCTATATATCTTTCGATTAGCAAGAATTTTGGTATAGGGTACTGAATTAAGGGGACCCCCCCCCCATTCTCGGGGTCAATTTTCTTTTTTGATTTAATTCGATTCTACACTAATTCAAGAATGTCTCTACAAAAGTGAAAATCTCAAGAACTCTTGAAGATATAGCCGATTTATTGTGTCAGCATCAAGTATATAACTTTAAACGCGTTTTTCTCTTTTGTGAATGGCGGGCACGATAACTCAAAAACTAATAACCCAATCGATTCCAATTTTTTACACGTTTCTCTGTGAGTGTATAGCTATCGTATGAACTAGGATAAAGCCAATCTGTGAAGATCTTCCATATTTTTTAACTTGGCTTTTGGTCAAAAATCGGCGATTTTTCAAAAATATTTTTTCAAAGGTCCGCCATTAACAAAATTTTAGAGCGAAGTCAATAATCCTAGTTCATACGAGAGCCAGACATGTACTCTTTCTAACACCGTTGGAATTTTAGGATTCCGATGTTCCAGTGGGGAGTTATCATGCCCGCCATCAAAAATAAGGACTTCTCTTTAATTACAAAAAACAACAACAAAACAATTACACAATTTTTTTGTAAATAATTTTTCTTCTCTTTTAAATCTTCAAATATATATGTGCAAAGTTACAAACCTTAACAAGCATTGGTATTGATTTACCAGCCCATTGAAAATCTTGAAAAATTAAAATCGAGAATGGGTGGAGTTTCCTTAAGTCTAGAATGATGTTGCTAGGCCGATTGACACAACGTACTGAAGTAATATAAATTAGTCTTTGGCAAGTCGGTTCAGATATAGATATAACAAACACGCTACATCTGCTTGGATTCATCTGTTGAATATACCCAAAGTGGTGAAGGGTATCATATAGTCGGCCCCGTCCGACTTTACTACTTTCCTTACTGGTTTTTCAATGATTTTTATATTTTTATTGGATTTATATTTTTTTTCTAATTTTAATGTAGGCTACAATTATAAGCCTAACATCACAACGCAAACCACGGTGAAGGGAATACGGACAAGTAATTAGAAGGGCTGTACTGAATATTGGTAATATTCGGAAAATATATCAGTGTAAGGAAGTAAGGAAGTGCTGTTGACCTATAATCGGCAAGAAGGTGCAACTATTACGAAATATTACCCAGGCTCGGAATAAAAATCCGCAGAAAGATAGAGTTCTGTGGTAGTTGTGTAGGGTATCGTATGGTCGGCCCGTCCAACTATACTACTCCGCTCACTGTTTTTTTAAGGAATATCAATGCAGGCATGTTTTAAACAAATATTTTTTCGATGAATATCGAACAGGGATATTTTAAAATAATATTTATTAAAAAAATCGAAAAAAATATTTTTTAGGAAATATCAAAGCGGGGATTTATTTATTTATTTTTTTTTTTTTTTTTGAAAAAATGTCAATATTTGGATTTTTAAAATGATTTTTTTATGCGGGACTTTTTTTAAATTATGTTTATTTTATTTTTTTAAATTGTTGTTGAAATTAATTCCTTATTTGTGCTCACTTATTTCTATATTCACTTCATGATCTCATTTGAATTGGCAACAAATTGAGTTCCTGTCAAAAGAGTTATCAACAAATAAATAAATTGCAAATTTCTGTCAATTGATTTGGAATATAAATGCCAATAATTGAGATAAAAGTAAGTGGCAAATATAACCGGACAAGTGGATTCGAATAAACCAAAGGCCATGAGTTATTGAAATTTAAGCGCCAATAACAATAATAATGATAATAATATTGGACTCTTGGTCTGAAGTAAGCTATCCAAGAGTGGAAATAAAAGCTCAATGCGCTCAATATTTGCATACCAATGGTGGCTGTGGAGATCAAAACGAAGCAACGACAACAACAAAAGCAGCAACAGCAAACGAATGATAATAAACTTGAACTTGGCCTATAGATTTGAATTCAAACTGACAAACAAGCAGAAATTGGAAACAACAACAACATACGAAAAACTTGTATCGTAAACCAATGATAATTTGCCCGGTGGCTAATAAAAATTTAAATAAAAAACAGCTAATAAAAATAATTACAATTATCAATAAATAAATTAAATTTATTTTTTGTTGTTTTTCGTAATTTAATTAATGAATGAGTTAAATTATTTTGTGAATAGGGGGATGAAATTTAAATTTAGAATTTAGGCAAAGTAAGGATTGGGCAATTTAGCGGCTGGTACACCATAGGCGGCACCATAGACAGGGGCTGGTGCGGGGGCAGAGAAGGCAAATTTACCAGGTGCAGCAAAGGCAGTGGGTGGATAGGCATAATTGAAGACAGGCAAGGCAGCTGGTTGAGCTGGGAAGGCAAATTTTCCAGGAGCGGCAAATGGCAGGGTGGCGGGAACTGGAGCAGCAGCAGCAGGGTATACATTAGCTGGACCAGCAAATTGTGTGAAGGGAGCTACAGCTGGAGCAGCAAAGGTTTGACCAACAAATGGACTGCCATAGGGAAGAGTGGCGCCGGCAGCAAAACCAACCTTGGCAGGTACAGGCACAGGATTGACGGGAGCAGCAACAGCTGGAGCAGTATATTCAACTTTAGCCGCTGGAGCAGCAGGAGCTACAGCTGGTGCTGCCAAGGTTGGGGTAGCAGGTGTAGCGGCTGGATAAGCCACTGCATGATTGATGCTGTGGGCATTGTACGAAGAGGCAAAGGTGGTAACACCAGCCTGAGCTGAGGCACACAAAGCCAAGACAGCAAGGATCTGAAAAGGACAAACACCATTTATAAAAATATTTTCTTTGAAATAATAAAAAAGTATATGCTTACCACAAATTTAGCAGCCATTTTTTGTTAGTATATGAAAATATGAAGGGGGTTAGGGAAGATGTGGTTTCCAAAGAAAAGGGAAATGGTTGTGTTTAGTTGAAAATCCAAACAAGGTATGATGACAATACAGCTGGAAACTATAAGTTTTTATAAAAAAAACTGAATCCAGCAAACATAAGTGTTCAATAAATGCAATTGTGTTTAAAATAATTGAAACATATTTACAAAAATAAATGCACACATTCACATATATTTAGCGGCGACTTTCATTGCATATTAATTTCTTTGATTGGGACTTCTTCATTTCCCTTTACCAAAAGCCTAAGTAAATTTATAAACACACACACCCACACATCGATATGTAGAGAAATACCTATCAACGTTTGTAACACTTTGTTGGTTTACTTCTGTCATTACTGATCCCCCCAATTCACTTGTCACCAATATTTCTGTCATTCAATTTGAAAATTTCGGTTTCTTTACAAAACAAAACTGAAAAATAAAAACAAATTCGAGTTTTCATTAAAACGCTCATAACCTGCCCCAACACATCGCCGTATGCACGTTATCGCGCATATTTTATTAACGAAATCAAAATTTCATAATATCAGGCTGATATATTAGAGCGGGTAAACTTTTTTTAAAGTATTTTAATAAAACAAGCAAAAAACTATTAATTTCGACTGGTCCAACATTTTAAAAATAATGAAAACGGGTCGATACGTTTATATAGGCGTTATAACGAAACATGGACCCATATTTCTAACATGAACCCAATAAGGCCATTCAAGCCTCAATTTGATACGTTGTGCAAAATTCTGTGTTAATCGGACAAACATTAGGAGCTTGGTGCACCACTCATGTAAAATGCGACGAAAATATATATGGGAGCTATATCGAAATCTGAACCGATTTTTAAGAAATTTAACACACATCATTCTAGACTTAATACAGTACGCTATGCCAAATTTCGTGCAAATCGAAGGATATATAGGGCCTTTGGTGCACCATTTACATAAAATCGGACGAAAATATATATGGGAGCTATATTTAAATCTCATCCGATTTTTAAGAAATTTAACACACATCATTCTTGACTTAATACAGTACGCTATGCCAAATTTCGTGCAAATCGAAGGATATATATGGACTTTGGTGCACCATTTACATAAAATCGGACGAAAATATATATGGGAGCTATATCTAAATCTCATCCGATTTTTAAGAAATTTAACACACATCATTCTAGACTTAATAAAGTACGCTATGCCAAATTTCGTGCAAATCGAAGGATATATAAGGACTTTGGTGCACCATTTACCTAAATTCGAAAGAAAATATATATGGGAGCAATATCGAAATTTCAACCGATTTTCCTGAAACTTACCACATGTTGTTCTAGACTCAATTCAGAACGCTAAGCCCAATTTCGTACAAATAGAAGGATATATAGAGACTTTGGTGCACCATTTACATAAAATCGACGAAAATATATATGGGAGCTATATCGAAATTTCAACCGATTTTCCCGAAACTTACCACAATTTCGTGCAAATCGAAGTATATATAGGGACTTTGGTGCACCATTTACATAAAATCGGACGAAAATATATATGGGAGCTATATCGAAATTTCAACCGATTTTCCCAAAACTTACCACATATCGTTCTAGACTCAATTCAGAACGCTAAGCCAAATTTCGTACAAATCGAAGGATTCCTATACATCCTTCGATTTGTACGAAATTTTGCTGTGGCATTTGCATAAAGTCAGACAGTAATATATATGGGAGCCATATCAAAATCTGAACCGATTTTTTGCATTTAAATGAACCTGAATCTGAAATGCCAAATTAAAAGTATTTTGTTGGATAGATAATAATAAAGCCTTAAAATACATAAAATACAGAAACTGCAGCTAAGGCAAGAAAACAAAAAAGTGAAGCTGATTAAGTTGCAATATTTGATTAAGTACATATAAATCAGGGTGCGCAAAAATTTGCTCGCGAATTATTCAAAATACATTCTTTTCGTTTTGTGCTCATTTTACGAATGAATTTATGGCGATAAATTCTTTACCTAACGAGCATTCGCCAATGAATGTTCGCACACACATAACAAACGAGTGAGAGCACACAACAACGATCGTTCGTTTCGTTTGATTGTTGAAATTTTTTCTGAGATTCTCTCAGGAATGAAAACAAACATTCCCGAATTCTCGCGAATGCTCATAACACTAACAACAAGAACAACAAAGTTCGTAAACTCAATAGTTGTTGGACATGTGTTTCTGCTACACATACATATTCTTTCGTTGTTTGTGTGTGTTTACTTTGTTTATGATATTTTTGTTTGTTGTTGTTTTTAAAAGTGCTCGCGAGCATTCGCAAACATTTGTTTTTCAAAGAATGTTCTTCAGCAGCAAATGCTCGCGAAAGAACGAACACTTGCAGCGAAATTTTATCGTTCGTGAATTTTTCGTACAATGCAAACATTCGCAAGAGAATGCAAATGCTTGTTCATAAATTGTAACTTTATCATTCGCGATAAATTGAAAACATTCGAATTCTCGCCGTGAAAAAGAGTGTATTTTAATCATTCTTCTCACCCCGATATACATATTTTGTATAGCATTTTGTTTACAACCATTACCATTACCTTCTTAGTGTAACATGTTTTTTTTTCAAATATATCAGTTCCATCCATTCATTACCGCATAAGAGTGGTATGCATTGTCATAATGGCCAAACGACAGACATTGGGACACCATTAAGTAGCATTTTGTATGTACGGCATGTAATTTTGAATTTTCAATTATCGATTGGTCACTTTTATATGTTTTGGGTAGATACAACAAAACTAAATTGTATTGGTATTTTATTGCGTGGATTGTATGCGTTTCATTTATTTTCAAAATTAGTGTTGCGTGCAATTGGCAAACGGACAGGTTAGCAAGCGAACAACCAACCAAAGCAAACCATCAAATTCAGCTTTGTGTCGACAACAATTCTTGTTCGCATAAAATGTGTGTGTTTTTTTTTTTTTTGTTTGTGTTGAGTCACTTGGGACAAGTAACCAAAAAAAAATCGTTCCATATTTCCTCGGATTTGGGCTAAAATCAAAGTAAGTGCGTTGCTTGCGTGATTTGTGAGTCTAAATTTTTGCACTGACAACAGCCAGGTTTCATAAACAATTTAACAGCAACAACATGACTTTATTATTTATTTTTGAAATAAAAAAATGCAAATAGAAAAAAGTGATTGTTTCAAGCGTTTAAAATATTTGTTTGTAATATAAAATTGAATTATTGGCCTACAAATTAGAAGATGTCTGCGTTTAAAGGTGTAAAATAATTGGATTTTAATATATATCCGTGACCTGTTTCCGAAATATGTTGATATTCATATATGTCGACTGAAAGATATATTGTTTTTGAAATCAAAGCAGTTGGTAGCATGATTTGCCATTTTGAGGTCAATATCACCTGAAGTGATAATTTATACAGCTGGCCGGAAATTGAAGGGGAATAAATGCACCAAAAGTTATAATGTTGATGAAAGAAAGGTTAGTGGTCAAAATATCCACTCCTATACCTGTAAAGGTTCTCTTAAGAAAAATATGCGCCTTTAGCTCCAAAAGTGTATTTTAAAAAAGTTTCCTATAATATTCACGTCTATACCTTCGAAGATTCTCCTTGACGAACTTTCTATAAAATTTTTTTAAACAACGCTAAGGTTATAGTGGTTAAGGTTCGAAAATAGTATTAAAAAAACAAGGGAAGTTCGTCCTGGCCGAACTTTGGATACCCTCCACCATTGGTATACTGACAGATAATGGCAATGAACAGATAGGTCACATGCCAAAAAGTGGACCTATACAGATAATTCTACGAACCAATTTATGTACACCAAATATAAATGTCAGCAATTTTTAATGGGGATTTATATATATATATATTTCCAATATTTAAGTTCCGTATCTCAATTATTTCCTTCAGGAGGTATCTTACGCAGAAGATGCCGAAATGCTGGCCGACATTTTATTTCATTATCGTCAGGTTCGATTTTTTTATCACGATAACTTAAGAAGGTGGAATGATTACAACAGATAGCTTAATTTTCTGTATTTCGGGTACCGACTATCCCCCATACTATGATAGAATACGCCTATATGGGCACAACTCCAAGACACGGAACAAATCACCTAAACTATTTTAATATAAACAAGTGAAAAAGCGTTAAGTTCGGCCCGCCCTCCACCATAGCTGTACTGAAATTAGCTTGAAATGAAAATATAGAGTACATACCAAAAAGTGGGCCTATACCGACAATTCTACAAACCGATTTATGTAAACCATTATGTGCATTGTGTTTAATGGGAATTTTTCCTAAAATCTGAAAGCCCCAAAACGTGGACCGACATTGATAAAGCATGGTAGAGTGGAACATGTTTAAAAAATCCTCAATTTAGAGTGCAAAGTTATATTAAGCAACGCTTAAAGGTGGACCAATATTAATTATATAACTAGGAATTAGCCAATATTTGGGATTATCATTATATGAGGGGATATGCCTAATTAATGACCGATATAGCTCAATTTCGAAGCCAATATTTTAGTTATGTATCTCCATTCGTCCCTTCAGGAGGTATAATTATATGAAGGAGATGCCTAAATGCCTGAAATACAGAAAAAATTTATTTGAGATACGTAAACCCCTGGGGGCGATACCTTAAGATGGACCAATATTTAGATTACAGTTATATAAGGTCATCACAACAGGCTTTGTTTCGAAGATTTGAACTTATCAGAAAAAATTATATGAGGTATATGCTACGCCTAATTGAGTACTGATATAGCTCAATTTCGAACATTTGAACTTATCATTACATGAGGTGCTATGCCTAATTGAGTACTGATATAGCTCAATTTCGAAACTAAATTTTTTGCATCACAATAACTTTCTTAACGTTAAATATAGGTATCATTGTATTGGGACTAGACCTAATTGCGAGCGGATATAGTTCATTCGGATATAGTTCATTCATTCAACAAAGAACCCCAAAATACCGAAATTGGCTACCCTTATATGGACCTATATTTATAATTTTTAGTGGGCAAATTTGCTAACCAATATGAATTCGAAGTTCTCAATTACAGCCAATTTGGTCAGTCGGTGAGGTCCATTCTCGAAGCTCACGTTCTAATGTTTTATCTCGATATCCTCCTTAGGTAGAATGATTACAACAAAGAACCCCAAAATACGGAAAATTTAGGGGTACCGTTATATGGGGACTACCAGAAAAAGTGGACCTATATTTATAATTTTTAGTGGAGTAATTTGGTACCCAATAAGAACACTATGTGTGCGAATACCGAAAATTGGGGGTACCCTTATATGGGGACTATCCGAAAAAAAGAACCTATATTTATAATTTTCATTATGCAGATTTGCTATCCAATAAGAACTAAAAGTACACCTTTTAGCGAATTGGGTCAAAAATTCGATCAAAACCCCCAAAATACCGAAAATTGTGGTACCCTTATATGGGGGCTATACGAAAAAATGAACCCATATTTATCATTTTAAGTGGGGAGATTTGCAACCCAAGAAGAACTCAAAGCACCAAATATCGGCGAATTCAGTTGAAAAACGCACTCAAGAACCTCAAAATATCGAAAATTGGGGGGTACCCTTATATGGGAGCTATGCCTAAACTTGGACCGATATAGCCCATCTTCGAACTTGACCTGCCTGCAGACAAAAGACGACTCTATGTAAAATTTTGGCGATCTATCTCAATTCGTTTAGACGCTAGAGTGATTACAACAGACGTCATAGAATTTTACGACGTCATAGAATTTTATTGCGTAAAAATTCAATTCAAGAAAAAACATTTTGGAAAATATGCAAGACTTAGAAAGAGGGGTCGTTGATCTATAATCCGAAGTGTGTTTTTCGTGGTAGTTGTGTAGGGTATTATATGGTCGGCACCGTCCGCTCCGCTCACTGGTTTTTTTAAATTGTTGGTTGTGAAAAATACCAGGCCTTGGAAAATTATTATTTTCTTTAATTGTTCAAGGTAATTTTTTTAAATCCAAATCTTTTTGGACTTTGAGAAAAATTTGTTTGTAATTGTTCGTTGGAGAAAACTATTTTCTTTAAAAGGCCACGTTTCTAAAATAATATCCTTTATAATTATAAGATAAATAATCTTTGGATTTATTTATTAACTAATAACTTAAAAAAACATAAACAAATTATTTGGTTAAATAAATTATAAATATTAATAAAAAGAACAATAACAGAACATTTGAATTTCTTTGGTATATAAATACAAAAAATACAAATAGCCCAAATCTGCATTTAGCTTTGGCCAGCATTCACAAAAACACCCTTTATCTTAAAACTGTCCTTGAAAAATGACCTTTTGCATGCCACTGGGCATAACTACAACAAAAGGGAACCTTTTAGAAAAGGGTGTGGTGATGATGGGCTATGGCCAAGGGGGCAGCATGCAAATGAGCATGGTGATGATGATGAGGTGGTGCAACTATGGCTTTGGCGAAATGGGCATGACTGTGAGCATGGGCATGAGGGAAAGCATAACCAACAGAGACATGATGGGTGGTGGTCTTGGGTCCGGGAATGGCACGGTAACTGGGCACATGAGCAGTGAAGGGGATAGCTTCGAAGACGGGAGGTAGGATTTTGGTAATTTGAACGGGAGCGGGTACAACTGGAGCTGGGGCAGGCAACACATGGGTGTGTACTACGGGAGCGGGGGCAGGGACAAAGTGAGCATGAGCAGCGGGGAGGAGGGGAGCAGGTGCGGGTAAAAGGGGAGCTGGGGCGGGTAGTAGAGGAGCTGGTGCAGGAACGAAGGGAGCAGGAGCTGGTACAAATTGTGCGGGGGCAGCTACTTCATGGAAGTGTGTTGGGGCGGGTACTTCGTGGAAGTGAGCTGGAGGCAATACTGGTGGAGCCTGATGGAAGTGGGCTGGTGGCAATACTGGAGGAGCCTGATGGAAATGGGTGGGGGCAGCCAATACCTCTTGATGTAAATGAGCTGGTGGTGCAAAATCAATGTGATCAGGTACTCCATGAGGGAATCCATAGGGCAGTGATGGTTTTGCCTGCGCCAAGACCACAGCCAAAGCCAACAATACAAATGTCTGAATGGGGGAGGGGGAAAGGAAGTTAATGTGGTTATATATTTTTAATTTTAATGATGTGATCTTACCAGTTTAACATGCATCATCCTGCTTGTGTTTGTTTTCACGTATCCCCGTTTAATTAACTGTTCAAATCCCAAGACAACTGTTTGTCTATGCAAATGTTGTGGAACTAATGCATAATTAATTTTCTGTCAACAATTTATACGAAAAATCTGCTAATACCCCCCGAGCCATTGTCACATAATATTTCCTCTACGGTGGTTGTTAATAATTTTTAATATTTTCATAATTTTTGTGTCTCTTTCACAGTTTGATACATCACCTTTATTTTCAATGGCCACAATTCCCTTTTCTTTCAGTTAGCGACTTGCATTGCTGTTGGGCAAATGGTTACCATTTTTGATTAGCCTTTTTTGGAGGGGGGTTGATTTGGTTTGTGGGTGTGTGTGTCCATTTCTTCTTTGCACTTTACAAATACCTTAGATTGGCAAAAAGCACACAGCTAAATGCCATCATTTTTGTTCATGGAGTGGTGGTGGCCCAGGGTGTGGGTAGAGCCTACCTCTTCCCCCCATTCCATTTGTAAGTGCGTGGCGGCTGCTATATAATTTGCCTAAAAATGAAATACTGTGAAATAAGTCGTGACTGCCTAACGCCACCCCGACCATTTGTTGTGTGCCCAAAACCACAAAATTCCACGCCACAAGAATTGGTCATAATCGAGCGAACGGCATTAAACGCAGTGTGGCATTTAAGTTGCCGTTGGGTTGTTGGTGTCTTGCATTTATGGACTTATGGGTTAATAACCCAATTAAGTGGGCGACATTTATGTGTTGGTGTGTCTGTATTGGCTTGAGCCATAATCAAGATATTATGTAATTGAGACTTTCTATATATGTTTGCTAGTATTACATAAACAGAAATATAACATACCTAACAGGCGATCACATACATTAAGTAATAATATTTTTATGAATACCCAGTGACCTTGACAACATAAAGGAAGGTGATTTGCAATAAAAAAAGCCGGTGAACAGAGCAGTATAGTCGGACGAGACCGATCATATATCTATATTCCGAGCCTGGGTAATACTTCTCAATATTTGCACTCATGACCGACTAGAGGTCAACAGCTCATCTGCGGCATGTTTTCTCGGAGTAAATTATACAAATTTTGTTATTTTCAAAACAGCTTATTCAATGGTCAGACCCCATTTGCTGTATAAAATTTCGTGATGTTCGGGTAATAATTTTTGCCTCTAGAGCGACCGACGTTACAAAATCTTGGCGCCACCCAAAAAAATGTTTTTCAACAACAACAAGAAAGGGGATTTACAATAAAAAAATTTTTAAAATTGGTTTTACCGAAAACATTTTTATACCCTACACAACTATGTTGTCAGTGTATTATAGCTTTGTGCAGCACCAAAATTTTGTAACGCCGCGAAATATTGGTCCTAGACCCACCTTTAAGTATACCGATCGTAATATCTCGACTAGCTGAGTCGATCTAGACATGTGTGTCCGTCCGTCCGTCTGTCCATTATAATTTGTAAACACGAAATTTTTACATGTTCTGACCAATGAAGACCCCTATTGTTTTTGGAAAAGATCAGTTAATATTTAGGGGATGAAATGGACCAAAAACTTTATTTTTGTCGGTTTTTCTGGTCACTCCGGAGGCCGCAATTATGGCCCAAACACCGCGAATTTTTGCATGGAGAAGGGGATCGGGCCAGAGAATAAGCATGCCTGTTTTAATAAAGATCAGTCAATATTTAGCGGGTCAAATGAACCCTGACTTTTGTGTAAAGAATGACAAAATTTGTATTCTATAGCGTATATATTTGCACCTGAAGGACCAAGGCCCGAGAAGTTTATAGTGTGTTCAAGAAGAGTGGTTGACCTTTAAATTGATACTAATTATATGGTCGTTTGTACTCAGATGTGGGAGTTACACTTAAATATTTACAGATGTTTACGTATTCAAGCATTATTTAGTAACCCAATACCACACTAGAGGGCGGGAATATAGCGCCGATCGCTTTGAAAATTTCCATGAGATTCCGGTTATGGTCAAGGACAACGCCTATAATTTTCGGTGATGATCACTTAATAATTTTGGGATGAAGTCGACCGAAAATCTAACTTTTTGTGCTATTTGCCACCAAAAAAAATGTTTTTCAACAACCAACAAAAACGTGGATTTACAATAAAATTGGTTTTATCGAAAAGATTTTTAAGGAATAAAAAAATTATGGATTTTTAAGTTATTAAAAAATATATATCTATTTATTTTTTAACTAATTAAATTATTGCCATTGTAGACATTTAAACTACAACTTGGTTGGGAGCGGCAAAACCTGGGGCAGCATATGTAGCAGCAATACCGGCTGGGTAGCTGGCATAGGGAGCGGCGAATGGAGCAGCATAAGGAGTAGCGTATGGGGTGGCATAAGGGGTAGCATAGGGAGCTACAACACCAGCGGGTGTAACATACTTAGCCGGAGCAGCAAAAGTGGCAGGAGCAGTATAGGCAGCTTGAGCAACAACCTTAGCAGGAGCGGCAAAGGTAGTAGGGGCAGCATAAGCAGCTGGACCAGCTACATAACGGCTAGAGTAAGGACCTGAATAAGCGAAGGGGGTAGTGGTGTAGGAAGACAAGGTTCCATCGTAGTTGTGACGTACATCAACCTGGCTGCTACCACCGGCAGCATACAAAGGAGCATTGGCATAGGCGACAGCGGGAGCAGCGGCAGCCAAAGCAGTGGGGGCCAAAACACCAGCACTGGCATAAGCCAAACAAGCAGCAAATACAATGACCTTGAATTGAGGGAATTACAACAGTTATTTTGGAATTACAGAAGCAAACAATACACATGGTATTGAACTTACAAATTTGAACATTTTGATGAGAGTGGATTAATGGAAATGTTTACAGATGAATGTGTAACGGTGTTATGCCTATTTTAGGTGTTGATAAAAGCTTTTATAATAAAAAATATGTTTTTTATAATCTACCATTGGCATATGTTTACCAAGTGCCAACAATTATTTGGCTGAAACGTGATACGATTTATAACACGCTGCGACATGAAAGTTTTATATTATTGTAATTATTTAATTTGTTACAAATATTTCTTCTACGCTTTGCCAAGCCCTCTGGAAAAAAGGGCAACAATGCTAATTTTATTGGCTATTATTGATTTCAGGCACGATTAGAGGCGGCTTTAATTTATGCTAATGTGTTTGAAAGTATATTTCTAAAATTGAGGATTTTTTTTATAAATGTTATAAATCCTTTCGTCTGAAAATTTACAATAAAGTTACATACATAGATTTGGACTTAATATAGGGTCCTGCCTTAATTTGAAGATTCTAGCCGTATTTTCATGACGATATTTTAAGGTAGGGCACAATTTTGGGAACTTATTAGAAAATCGAGCTAATGATTTGGAGAATGAAAATTCCTTATGTGGATGAAAGCCTTTGGCGGGTATATCAGGAACTCAAATGGACGAATTCGCTACAGGTCAAGTTTTTTGCTTGTAACACTAAAATCTTTTAAAAAATTGTTTATATTTTTGTCTACGTCTATTATAGGTATGAAGAATATTTTTGTAAAACATATCCTTCTCCTATTTCGAGTCCTTGTGGGCCTTTTTGTCTATTTTTTCTTGTAACATAATGTCATTATCACAAGGCATGATTTTTTGACATCCATATATTCTATAAAAATGTAGCACAATGTCGAAGAAATCGATATTGGAATTTTATTGTCGTTTTTTTGGCATAGTGAGATCTGTTCATGATAAAAAAATTCTAAGCTACGATCGTATGCAAGTGAAAAAGGACGATGAAAACATACGAAATTCGAATTTTGGAATTTGAGAACCCTCTCTAAAACCTTATTGGTGAAATTTTTGTAAAAAATTGGATGCCAAAAAATCTTGCCTTGCAATTCAAGAGACTAAGGACGAATAAGAGGGACAAGGATAGGAAGAGTATATTTTTTAATGTAAAGCACATTATTATTGTTAAAGCAAGCCTGTTCAATTTTATTCCAACTTTTCACATTCTAATATTCTTTCGAGGTTAATCATCTTCAAAATTGGGAATATCATGCCACTCATTGTGGCACTTCGTAACAATTTGGTCGATGGAAGATGGAACGCCCCGCAAAATTTCAAGGTCAATGGTGTACCCAATTTGATGCATAATTGTGCACATCGGAATACACTAGAGTCTCGGCACATTTTCCCATCTACATAGTATCATGAATACCTATTTTTTAATCGACTGTATTTGATAGAGGGTTGTTACATAGGTTTTAATTCGCAAATTTTAAATTATGAACCAAAATTGCAAATTAAATTAAGCATTACTTTTTATTTGAATTGATATATATTACGTCCTACTACAATGATTGCTCAAACAGTAGTCTTGGCCCACTGGACTTTTTGACAATTGAACGATTATTAACTTCAAAGATTTTTTCATCGAATTTCCTTATGTACAACAAATTAAAATCATGCATGGGGAAATATATATTCTTAAGGATGAGTTAAAAACGTTCATGCTGTTCATGTTCAGTAATATGGATCAATAATCTCCAGATGGCACTAATAAATGTATTTCTTACGTATTATCGGTAATTAATCGCAATTAATTCTTATCACGAATAATTCGGAATACTAGCCTGCATTTGAATAGTATAAGTGTATGCTAATGACCTGATGACCAATAGGCAAAGAGAAGCAAATATATTTCATTATAAAAGCTTTTATCGGCAACCAAAGAAGGCATATCACCGTTACACATTCGACTGCAAACAGTTTCATTAACACACACTCCCATCAAAATGTTCAAATTTGTAAGTTCAGTATTATTTGTAATTGTTTGCGTTTGAAATTCAGAATAACTCTTGTAATTTCCTTAATTCAAGGTCATTGTCTTTGCTGCCTGTTTGGCCTATGCCAGTGCTGTTGTTGTGGCTCCCACAACTTTCGCTGCCGCTGCGGCACCCGCTGTCGCTTATGCCAATGCTCCTCTTTATGCCGCTGGTGGTAGCAGCCAGGTTGATGTACGTCACAACTACGATGGTACCTTGTCTTCATACACCACCACACCTTTCGCCTATGCTGGTCCCTACTCTAGCCGTTATGTAGCTGGTCCAGCTGCTTATGCTGCCCCAACTGCCTTTGCTGCCCCAGCTAAGTTTGTTGCTCCAGCTAATTATGCTTCTCCTGTCGCTTTTGCTGCTCCAGCTAAATATGTTTCTCCCGCTGGTGTTGTAGCTCCCTATGCTAACGCTTATGCCACTCCCTATGCTGCTTCATACGCCGCTCCCTATGCCACCTACCCAGCCGGTGTTGCTGCTACATATGCTGCCCCAGCTGTTGCCGCCCCTGCCCAAGTTGTAGCTTAAGAGCTTGTAAAGCCAATTATTTTGTAAATTATTCAAAAAATAGTTTTTAAATGTTTAATAAAAAATAATTGTTATTTTATAACTTAAAGAAGTAATAATTTCTTTTTTATATTGATTTGTGACTGATATAGTTGATGTTTTGAACATCTATTTTCAATGAAGTTGCCAAAACTCACTTGCACCAAACTAAGAATATACCACTCCAGAAATACTAAATGGTAGCTGTTTTTGATGGACAAATTTTCAAAACTCCTACATCACGACCTACATCATAACAAGAAAATTAGTTACAATGTGTCGACACAGATTAAATCGAATGATGAATATTTTTGTAAAACTTTTCCTCCTGCTATCTTGAGTTCTTTTGCATCTTTTTCGTCTTTATATTCATGAATCGTAAATTAAATACAACAAGACCAGATTTTTTGCCATAAAATATTTTACAAAAAAATCAAAGTCGAGAAATCCTTTTTAATTTTGTCCATTTCCTTGCTAAGAATTTTGATTCTAATTATGAGCTCGATTTTGTGTCAGAGTGTCTCATTATGACTTCGACAAATTAAACCAGTAAGGAAAGTAGTAAAGTCGGACGGGGCCGACTATATGAAGCCCTTCACCACTATGGGTATATTAAAAAGGTCATTAACATAAAATTGGATGAACTAAAATATATGACCTTTATCTAAATGTGAACCGACTTAGATCAATTCATAAATATGTCATTCGTTTGTTATAATGGGACCAAATTCTGTAAACCGATTTAAAGCAAATATCAGTCGCGCACCCGTTGAATATTTAAAGCCCAAGTAACACGCAATTACGTCATTCTATTCTGAAAAACATGAAGAGTTTGGTGCACCATTTACTTAAAATAGGACGAAAATAGATATGGAAGCTATATACTAAGTTAGACTAATTTATGCACGTTTGGTTCCTATGGACATATTTTGGGTCCTTGGATCCCGCTTAAAATCGGACGAAACTATATGGGAGCTATATCTAAATCTGGACGTATTCCAACAAAACTTGACTATAAAACTATACTATCTTAAGTACGTACACATCATTCTAGACTCAAGTCAGTACGCTATGCCAAATTACGTGGAAATCACGTGAACCATTTGGTGAACCATTTACAATGAATCGGTCGAAAATATATATGGGAGCTATATCGAAATCTGAACCGATTTTCAGGAATATGTATACACATCATTCTAGTCTCAATTCAGTACGATATACCAAATTTCGTGGAAATCGAATGATATATAGGGACTTTGGTGAACCATTTACATTAAATCGGTCGAAATTATATATGGGACCTATATAGAAATCTGGACCGATCCCAATTTCAATAGGGTTCGTCCTTGGGTCAAATAGACTAGCTGTGCCAAATTTCATCAAATTCGGATCATAAATGCGACGTGTACTTTGTTTACAATTTAACATGGACAGACATACGGACGGACGGACATGCATAAATCGCCTCAGAAAGTGATTCTATGCATATTCTCAAAAGGAACCATGTGTCTATCTCGTTTCCTTTTGCCTGTTACAAACATATGCACAAAGACATAATACCCTGTACCACAGAGTGGTGAAGGGTATAAAAAGGTATTACAGGACCCATGTTATTTATTAAACCCAATTGATATTTATTAAAATTAATATCAATAAATGTGGTATTTTGCTACACGTTGGGTGCCATTAATATTAACAAGTTGGTTCATGTTAGTGCAAAATATTCATAATTTGCTAAATGTGATAGAGATTTTCATATTTTGTTTTCTTTAAGTGTTTTGCCTTTATTTTCGTAAGAAAAGTAATTAACAGTACGTTGGGCGCCATTTAGAGTGAAATTGATAATCTGTCATATTTTAATATTAATTAGTATCTTTATTACGCATTTTTAATCTACTTTTCTACTTCTCAAAATAAGCTCCACGTTAACGAAACGTTGACGAAATTTATGGAACTGTCATTCATGACTAAACACATGATATGTCGTCGAAAATGTCGCTCTTCTCGAAATATGAAAACAAAAATAGTCTGAATCGAGTGTACTATAAAATATTGACTGAAACAAATAGAAGAATTTTTCTGAAAATATATATATAAGACATTTAGGATAAGGAAAACAATGTGTTTTCTTGGTTAAAATAGGCAAGTTTAACTGCTTTCTCTTGCTCTTAGCATGGGGCAAATAAATGGCAATTGGTAAAATATTGTAAGTAATATCTGAAGGACGTTTCATATTTTAATGCGTTTAATGTTGTTTTTTCATTAGAGATGATTTTAAAATGGAGAAAATCATCTCGACAACTTCTCAGGCAATGTGTTTATTTATATTATTATAAACGTAAATGCAATGTATATTTCTTGTTATATAATAAATTACATGCTATAAAAATATAAATTGAAAATGTATGTGTATATTTTTATTTGAAGTTTTAATGGGGTATGATTGATGACAATGGGTATTCAGTCGTCAACGACTGTGTATACGATATAGTCTATGATAGTCGTCAACGAAAAGTAGGGAGTTTTGTCGCCGAAGTTGTCGTCAACGACAACTTCGCTTACCCAGTCGCCCAAGTTGTCTTGCATGAATACTGCGACACTTGTGTGAAAGTTTCGTCAAGGATCTCACATTGTTCTCTGCAAAGTGTCTTCAAGGAATTGCTATTGTCTTGCACGATTTGTTAATGTTGTCTGCAAGACACTTTGTACTGGGAATGATCTTTAATTAAGTTATTCTAAAACGGTACATATATTTATGTTTGTATATATTTTCATTCAATAAAATAACACAATTTATATAACTAACATTCAACTATTTACACATAAGAGTAGCACTTAAGCTACAACATGAGCATGACCAGCAACAGCTGGGGCAGCATAAGTTGCGGCAACACCAGCAGGGTAGGTGGCATAGGGAGCGGCGAATTGAGCAGCATAAGGAGTAGCATAGGGGGTGGCATAGGGAGCTACAACACCAGCAGGAGTAACATATTTAGCTGAAGCGGCAAAGGTGGCAGGGGCAGCAAAGGCAGCTGGAGCAACAACCTTAGCAGGAGAGGCAAAGGCAGTTGGTGCAGCATAAGCAGCTGGACCAGCTACATAACGACTGGAGTATGGACCAGAATAGGCAAAAGGTGTGGTGGTGTATGAAGACAAGGTACCATCATAGTTGTGACGTACATCGACCTGGCTGCTACCACCGGCGGCATAAAGAGGAGCATTAGCGTATGCTACGGCGGGAGCAGCAGCTGCAGCGAAAGTTGTGGTAGCCACAACACCGGCACTGGCATAAGCCAAACAAGCAGCAAAGACAATGACCTTGAATTGTGGAAATAAAATAGTTACATTTTGGATTAGTATGGCCTTAAATAACTGTAAATAACTTCTAAACTTACAAATTTGAACATTTTGATGGGATTGTATTTTAAAAATCGAACTGTTTACAGTTGAATGTGTAACGGTGTTATGCCTTTTTTGGTCGATGATAAAAGCTTTTATAATAAAATATAATTTTTAACTATTTTGTTATGCTATAGTTACTTATTTACATGCCTAATTACCAAATGCAAGCTATTACTCCGCATTTGAACGTGATAAGATTTACAAGTTATCTGTGGTCACAAATTGTTTTTATATATTAAATTTGGTAATGAATTTATGTTATTTGTTGGTTATGTAGTTTTATTGAATGTACGGAATGCATGGGCTGACGACCATTCCATAAATAACACATTATGTATTTCGAACCTACTCAACAAAACGTAGCTAAAAACCAGTGAACGAAGCAGAATAGTGGGACGGGGCCGACCATAAGTGCATCATATGATAGACCAGGGTACTTTTAGCAAATCTATATTTTAAGCTTGGGCATTATTTTACGGTATTTGACCGATTAGAGGTCAACATCTCTTCTTTCTTATCCTTGCATCTTTTCCGAACCTTTTTTCCCCGGGGTGAACATCTACACCATAACGTGAATTTTACACAGAGATATTTTGATTGATTTGACAAGCTGATAATTGACCGATCATTAGCAAAACAGCCCTTCTAATTAGTTAAACAGATTCCCATCACCGTGTGTTGTGATGTTCGGTTTATAATTTAGGGATATAGTGGACTTAAAAAATCACATACAAATTAAGTTTTCGGTCTATTTAATCCCATAAATATCATTTGCTCTTCACCCAAAATTATAGCCGTCGTTCTTGACCATAACCTGAACTTCATGTAAAATTTCAAAGCGATACGCGCGACCTTTCCGTCCTCTATTGGAGTAATGTTTAAAAAGTTTGTCGAACCCTGTAAATATTTGCTATAACTCCCACATACGAGTCTCTTTAGATTGATACTAATTATTTTTAATTTAAAAGTCCTCTCGAATAGACTAGTAACTTCTCCGGCATATAAATTTTGTAAATTTTTTGCCTTTCATCATGTATTATTTCATGATGTTCAGGTCATAATTGCGGCCACTGAAGTGACCACAAAATCAGACAAAAATAAATTTTTTAGTCCATTTGATCGCCTAAATTTTAACGGATCATTACTCATAGGAGTCTTCCTTCACCAGAACCGTGTGGAGACCCGTATTGATATTTCGATGGTACATCTGTCCATTATTAATTGGACTATCTGTATATTACACTGTTAGACAAAATCAAGGTCAAGGTTTGAGGAGTGAACATTTCTTATTTGGCATTTAAAATTTTATATGCAATGTTTTTGTAGAATATTGCGAGGATAACAAAGACCCAAGGTTTCCCGATTGAGATATAATTTTTCACAGAGTACCGCATTCAGCCTAGAATAATACCAGTTATTATACCCTTAACCACACTGTGGTACAGGGTATTATGTCTTTGTACATATGTTTGTAACAGGCAAAAATAATCGAGATAGACCCATGGTTCCTTTTGAGAATATGCATGGAATCACTTTCTGAATCGATTAATGCATGTCCGTCCGTCCATGTTTTTTTGTTAAAAAAGTACAGGTGGCACAGGTCACTTAATTGGCCAAAGGACGAACCCTATTGAAATTGGGAAAAATCGGTTCAGATTTAGATGTAGCTCCCATATATATTTTCGTCCAATTTAAGGTAAGTGGTGTACCAAAGTCCCTATATATCTTTCGATTTGCACGAAATTTGGCATAGCGTAATGAATTAAGTCTAGAATGATGTGTGTTAAGTTTCCTGAAAATCGGTTCAGATTTAGATGTAGCTCCCATATATATCTTCGTCCGATTTAAGGTAAATGGTGTACAAATGTCCCTATATATCTTTCGATTTGCACGAAATTTGGCATAGCGTAATGAATTAGGTCTAGAATGATGTCCTGAAAATCGGTTCAGATTTAGATATAGCTCCCATATATATTTTAGTCCGATTTAATGTAAATGGAGTACCAAAGTCCCTATACATATTTCGATTTGCACAAAATTTGGCATAGTGTACTGAAATGAGTCTGGAGTGATGTGTGTAAACCTGTCTTATTATCATTGGCATTTTTTTAACAGCGAAGCTATGCGCTAACTGTAAAGTTCGTTCAAATCGATTCAGATTTAGATATATCTCAGATAGATATTTCAGATATAAATGGTTCACTAATAATCCTAATTCTGTCGGTACCAGGTGCTACCTGTATGGGAAAAATTGCGTATGGAGAAATGGTAAATTATATACAATTCAGTCAGTCCAACCGTAAAACATCACAAACACATTTACATATAAAATATTTTAACAAATATATTTAATCAAAATAAAAGAAACAATATCAATTAAATAACTAAAATTCGCCTATTTACACATACATATAACAATTGTCTTTGTAAGCTCTTAAGCTACAACATGGGCATGACCGGCAACAGCTGGGGCAGTATAAGTGGCGGCAACACCAGCTGGGTAGGTGGCATAGGGAGCGGCGAATTGAGCGCCATAAGGAGTAGCGTAAGGAGCTACAACGCCAGCGGGTGTAACATATTTAGCTGGGGCAGCGAAGGCGGCAGGGGCAGCATAGGCAGCTGGAGCAACAACCTTAGCGGGAGCAGCAAAGGCTGTGGGGGCAGCATAAGCAGCTGGACCAGCTACATAACGGCTAGAGTAAGGACCGGAATAAGCGAAGGGGGTAGTGGTGTAGGAAGACAAGGTATCATCGTAGTTGTGACGTACATCGATTTGGCTACTACCACCGGCAGCATACAAAGGAGCATTGGCATAACCGACAGCTGGAGCAGCAGCGAAGGCAGTGGGAGCCACAACACCAGCACTGGCGTATGCCAAACAGGCAGCAAAGACAATGACCTTCAATGAGTGGAGACAAAAAATACATTTAGTGTTAAGTCATACAAGTAAGTGAATTACGAAACAATTGTATTGAAACTTACAAATTTGAACATTTTTTGGCTTTTTTTGGGAGGGGATGGATGGATGTTTTCAGTTGTAGGTGTAACTGTGTTGTGTCTATTTAGGGTCATGATTTAAGCTTTTATAGTAAACCATGTTTGTTCATATCGTTTGTGGTTAGACAATTGTTGTCAAATTACCATGTGTCGTACGTGACGAGCAAAGTAAATAGAAAGTGAAACATGGTTTCCCTACTATTTGAGTACATTGTGAGTGGAACCATGTGCATTGAAGTTTTGGACTATCTACTGCATTTGCATCCATCAATGACCTTTAATTATATCCAATGCAATGCAAATAAGTAATGGAAATAAAAAAACTAGAGCAATCAAACCACAGTTGATCTAAAAATAAAAGGTTGTGTCGTTGAAAATTTAGTTCAATGTCCCCAATATAAATAAAAATTAATGTCGTTTACAGTTTTTAGTAGGGGGTGTTTTTTTAAGGCAGCACTGAAAGTACATCCTTTGTATTTTGGATAGAATAAATTTGAAATGTCAATCTCACTAGAAGATATTATTTCAAATTATAGAAACGAATGGAATAATTAATATGGAAATTTCCACTATCTTTTGCATTGAAAGTCAATATAGGTCAAAAAAAATATTATTTGGGGTTATATTCTACAAAATAATCTATAAATTGAACAATATTTACCTATTTCTGGGAGGACACTTGCTAATCTCTGCAAATACAGGACGCCAATATACATTCACTTCGTTTAAGTACGAAGTAGTTTACCATTTACCGGTCCGCAATTGGAGATCAACGTGGGTAGGAATTCTACACACCGACAATCCAAAATCCTGAAAGAAATCTGGCATACAAAGGAGCATTTGGATGTAGGACGGGTTCTGGCCAAAGAAGACCCCTATTGTTTTTGGTAAAAAAAATGGACCAAAAGCTTTATTTTTGTATGTTTTTAAGGTAGCTCTAGAGGCCGCAGTTATTACCAGAACCTCACGAAATCTTACACAGAGAAAGGGGGATAAGCATAACTCTTTTTATAGAGATCGTTCAATATCTATCGTATTAAATGGGCCTAGACCTATATGTGAAAAATTACAATATTTGTATTCTGGGGCGTATATATTTACTCCTGAAAAATATTGAGCCTAGTAGTTGATTGTATATCAAAGAGGTGTGCTTGACCTTTAAATTGATACCTATTACATTGTTGTGTGTTCTCGGATGTCGAATCTACCTATTCTGAAATTGTTTAGATCTACCATTACCACTCTAGTGGGAGGAAATGTCGCACTGTTGGCAAGGAAATTTTGCATGAGGTTCCGATTATGGTCAAGGACGAAGCTTACCATTTTCGGTAAAGGTCAGATGATATTTACAGAATGAAATGCACAGAAAACGTTTGTTTTCAAGTAGCTCCATAGACCACAATTATATGCCGAACATCACAACACAAGACACGGGGAAGGGAATCTGGTCAAATAATCATAAGGGCTGTTTTGCTAATAATCGGTCAATATTCAGAGGGTCAAAACAACCAAGAGATTTCTAAGTAAAATACACATTGGGTCTCATGCATAAAACGTGAGCTTGAGCTCGGACTCGATTTTTTGAGTAAAAGGTGCTTGTCGTATGCATAATAAAATTTGATGTATTTGCTTTTACTCACTGCTCACGTTTGATCTCTTCTTGCTCAGTTTGAACTTAGAAATTGATGTTGGATGAGATTGTTCTCATTTTCACATGCATAATAACAAGCTTTTGCTTACATTTGTGAGCTCTTGCTTAACTTTTGTTGAGCATGCCTCTTAGTTGACTCGCGTACACTAAAATGAATAATTATCAGTGATTGTGAACATAATTTATCACAGAAAATGATTTTGGAAAAATATTCCATGAATATTTTGTGTTGAAACTTGACAATAACCCCCAGACATAAACCAAAACTTGTCAGCGATTGGTTGCGGGAGTCTCAAATCCGGATTTTATGATGGCCAACATAATCATCAGATCTTCACCCTATAGAAAAATCGTTGTATCATCATCGATAGCAAAATTCAAAGGGATTCACTAACAAACAAACATAACCTCTTCTCAAAGGTTCAGGATGTGAATAATAGTGCATCAAAGGATCAAATTTTGGATCGTATAGGTTCAATGTCTCGTAGGTGTAATCAAAAATAACGGGTTTGCTGTCGATTACTAGCTAAATTTGCTTATTTATAAAAAAAAAAATAAAATCAAAATTGGGTCAATGTAGTTTTCCATAGAATTTATTTTTATTTCGAAATAAATGTCACGTTTATATCCTTAAAAAAACTTTCTCTATAACTTTATTTTCAAAAAAAAAAAAAGTTACGGGTCATTAATTCAGTTTGCAATTTCAGTTGCTTTAGTTTTGGTCACCAGTGTATATATTCTATGGGGTCTTAGGTGAATATTTCGAGATGTTATAAACGGAATAAAAAATTGAGGAATATTAGCCAAGTATTTGCAAATATTCGGGTTTCAACAGACGGGTATGGATATAATTGATTTTGATCAGGAAAATACATATACTTTAGGAGGTCTTCGCCCGCCTTATGGTGTGGATTATAATAATATAAACCCTAATAATAATAATATAGTCCGTTATTTCTATTCCAAATGTTGCTTCATTTCTTTGACACTTGGTAACTGACTTTTTCAAAGTAAATATTTATTTTCTTTAATTTTTGTTGTACTAAAAATGAAGATATATCGTCAGTTTCTATTTTATTATTAGTATTTACTATTACTTCTAATTCACTTCCACTATAACAATTAGAAGTTTGATCTCAATTTGCTCAAGTATTTGCAATTGGTTTGAACTCATTTTTATGCATACGAAATTGAGCAAAAGCAGTTCCTGTTCGATCTAACTCAACTTACGAGCAATTGCTAGCTTGACTTAACTCATCGCTTTTGCTCGTTTTTATGCATGAGACCCATTATGTTCGCCCCTGGAAAACAAGATTCTGAACACATGCCGGTGTAAGAAAGAGAAGCTGTTGACCTCTAATTGGTCCCATTTCACGAAATAATGTCCAGGCCATATTTTAAAGGATCTTAGAGGCGTGAATTGTGTAAAAAAATCAGGGATCCTAGTTAGGCGAGGAGTTTTTCAAAAATTTTTTTTCAGGGATTTTTCTAATTGAGGAATTATTTTTAATAGGAATCGGATTCGGGATCTTATTTGTAGTGAGTTTTTATTAAGAAATATTTTTCTGGAATTTTAGTAGGTTTGGATTTTTTAAAACAAATGTTCATAGACCTGTTTGCTTTAAAAACATTTTACATGGATCTTAGTTAGAGTCGTCTTTTAAGTTGGCAAGAGGTGTGTTCAAAAAATATTCGGAAATATTATTATGCGCGGATTTAATTCAATATTTTGTTCTAATATTTTACAAATTACTGTGCGTGGATTTTTTAAAAATATTAAAAAAATTGTGCCTGAATATTGATGAACATAGACCCTGTAGCGATCTAAAGTGACAACCAGGGTACTGGGAGCTGTGTTTTTGTAGTTTTCTAAAAATGTATGGGGCATAGATTTTTTAGAAATAAAAATAATATGATGAAGGATTTTTTTGATACCAGATAATTGATGAAAAAATCAATAAAAAAGTACATGGATCTTAGTCGACGTGGTGTGTGTTTTTTTTTTTAATTTTCAAGAATTCAGTGGGCGTTGAAAAAAGCTGCATGTTCAATTTCAGATAAAACAAAAAATCAAAAGAATTTTTTTTTTATTTTTACTAACCGCTTGTAATAAAAAAAATTAAACGTCTTTATCATTTTTTCCCATACATTCTTCTCTGTGTTTTTATATTAATAACAACAAAATTGTCAAATTTTATGTACAACAATTTTAATTTATTTAACAACAAATAAAACGAAATTAAATAACAATATAGATATTTCTTTTATAACAAGTATTCACCTCATAATAAATATCTTATGCTACGACAGGTGCGGGGGCAGCATAGGTAGCGGCTACTGGGGCAGCACCGTAGGTGGTGTAAGGGGCGGCGAAAGGAGCGGCATAGGGAGCAGCATATTGGGCGGCGAAGGGAGTGGCATAAGGAGCAGCATAGGGAGCTACAACTTTAGCGGGAGCAGCGAAATGAGCTGGTGCAGCGGCATAGGTGGCAGGAGCAACAACCTTAGCAGGAGTAGCAAAAGCTGTGGGGGCAGCATAAGCAGCTGGACCAGCTACATAACGGCTTGAGTAAGGACCGGAATAAGCGAAGGGGGTAGTGGTGTATGAAGACAAGGTACCGTCGTAGTTGTGACGTACATCGACCTGGCTGCTACCACCGGCAGCATACAAAGGAGCATTGGCATAACCAATAGCGGGAGCAGCAGCTAAGGCAGTGGGGGCCAAAACACCGGCGCTGGCATAAGCCAAACAGGCAGCAAAGACAATGACCTTCACAAAAAATAACCAAATAATTAAATTTCAGCAAAAAAATTAAAATAAAATACGAAACTTACGAATTTGAACATTTTGAATTGGATGTTTAGTTTTCAAATAACTGAATGTATTTCGATGAAGGTGTAATACTGTTATGTCTATTTAGGGTAACGGTAAATGTTTATATACTAAAAAAGTTGTCGCTTATGTTAAACTTTTGAAATCACTGAAGAAGAAACCGAATACAGTAAGACGAATTACCAAAAAATTTGCTACGTGCTTTGAGATATTAATAGTTTTTTTTTTCAAATTATTTCAAATACCTAACAATGAAAAAACTATGTGAAGAAATAATACCTTTATTTAGTAATTTCTGAATTTAGGAAATACATTTGTTAAGCCTAAAAATAAGTTAACAAATGAATTCAATTATTTTAATATTCTGTAAATGAATACCAAGCAATAGGTGGTGGCACGAGTCACCCCACCCAATGAAATCAATCAAACGATGAGCGCCAAAGGAAGAAAATAATACGAAATAGCTTCATTAATTATTTCACCCGAATGATTTATCGGTTTTGTGATTTTTAATTCAATAGAAAAGTAATCGCATTTTAACTACTTATGCTAATGATTTATGACAAATTAATCAAAAATGTATAATCGTGAATTTTGGAGCAATATGTAGTTGCGGATGTAGCAGCATGTGTGCAAGTTTTTTAAAAAAGAAACAAATAAATAAAATGGTAAATATTATTTTAAATTTATGCGGAAATAATTGTTGCAATAATATTTGAATTTCTAACATCAACATAATTCACTAAAGTGTATATGGGAAAATACTCGCAGGAGCTTTATTTTAGTAAGAAAGAGAAGCAATATATAATTCGATTTAAAAAACTTTTAAGAAACTTCCAAGACACCAAAAAATGGAGATCCAGTAAATGGCGGACTTCACCAAAACGCAGAACGATATTGATCATTTTAAAATTTGAAATTAAAGTCAATACAACTGAAATACGGACCAATATTGATCATTTTTTGTAAGACGATTTGCTACCCAATTACATTGGTTGAAATCCTTATAATTCCCAAAATATCGAATAATGGGGGTTCGTCCAAACCTTTGAGCAAAATTGAAATCACAGTAGGACGCTTTTCTACCCAATGAGAATTCAAAATCCTAATTGTAGCCATTTTGGACAGACGGACAATATATATTTATATATACATTATAGGGACTTCGAATTTGGACGGACGGACAATATATCTTAATATATAAAAGTGCTTAGAGTGACTGACTGACTGAAAATTGACTTGAAAATTTGAGTGTGGGTTGCTGTTGGTGTGTAGGCGTAAGATAAGGCTGAGAAAATTTTGGAAATTCGAACTAGAAGGTTGTGTACATACGGTCGGTACATACGGACCAATATTGTTAATTTTTTGTAAGACGATTTGCTACCCAATAACATTGGTTGAAATCCTCATAATTCCCAAAATATCGAATAATGGGGACTCGTCCAAACCTTTGAGCAAAATTGAAATCTCAGTAGGACGATTTGCTAACCAATGAGAATTCAAAATCCGAATTATAGCCATTTTGGACAGATGGACAATATATATTTATATATACATTATAGGGACTTCGAATTTGAACGGAATGAAAACATATCTTAATATATAAAATAGCTTAGAGTGACTGCCTGGCTGACAGATCATCGCCCAGACGAAACGGCTGAAGCTAGAAGCTTGAGTGTGGGTTGCTGTTGGTGTGTAGGCGTAAGATAAGGCTGGGAAAATTTTGGAAATTCAAACTAGAAGGTTGTGAAAAGTCCGAAAATGTACCAAATTTGGTACCCTTTGTACTAGGCGAACGGGAAGAAATTTGGAATGTGGGTCACATATGGAAAGATAGAAAGATGTAGAAAGGGGTTTTTGGAAAGATGTAGAAAAGGGTTTTTGGAAATTCGACCTATAAGTGTTCTAAACGTTACTAAAGTTAGTCCTTATTGTATATATATTGAACATATATAGCTAGAATCTTGAAATTTTATATGGAATACAGGTTGGGTAAAGAGATGGAATCCTGAAAATAGAAATTAGGACTACAATTGGAGTACAGGATTGTACTTATGTGTACGAATAGTAATAAATTTGGTGCAAGTTGGGTTTAGACGGATAAAGCTGGGAATTAAAATAACTGTTGGAGTGTAGGATTGAAGTAGTTTAGAAAATTCGTACTTATTAGTACGAAAAGTACTATATGGTACTAATTTGGAATTTGCTTGAAAGGATAGAGCTGAAAACCTGAAATTAAGAATTAAGATTACTATTGAAGATTGAGCTATAGAGACATTTTTGGAAATTCGTATTAATGTACACAAAAATTACTAAACAGAACTAGATTTGGTACAATTTAGATTTGGGTGACAGAGAGAAGTGGAAATCTAAAATTTGGAATAATGGTTGCTTTTGGAATATAGAATTGAGATATGGAAGCATAGAACATATGTGTACTAAATGGTACTATATTAGGTACAATTTGATTATATGTGAACAGATAGAGCTGGACTCAAGAATTTTGGAATTAAAATTACTGTTGGAATTTAGGACTGACATAGTTTAGGAAATTCTTAATTACAGAAACAAAATGTAATAAATTGTACCAAATAGTTTACAAATTGTTTTTGTGTGAACGGATAGGGCTGAGATTCTAAAATTTTGAATTAATATTACAGTTGGAGTGCAGGAGTTAGATATGTCGGTAGTTTTGAAAATTCATCATTATGTGTACTAAATTGTACAATTTAGATTTGAGTAAACGGATAGAGATGTGAAATTTAAACTAACTTATGATTAAAACCAGTAAGGAAAGTAGTAAAGTCGGACGGGGCCGACTATATGATACCCTTCACCACTATGGGTATATTAAACAGGACTATTAACATGAAATTGGATGAAATAAAATATGTGATATTTATCTAAATGTGAATCTACCTAGATCTATCCATAAAGTATGTAAATCGACTTCAAACAAATATAAATAGGTCATCCGTTGGGCTATGTCTGTCAAATTTCGTGCAAATCGAAAGATATATAGCGACTTTGGTCCACCATTTACATGAAATCGGACGAAACTATATATGGGAGCTATATCTAAATCTGGACCGATTTTCTCGAAACTTGGCAGACATCATTCTAGGCTCAATTCAGTACGTTATGCCAAATTTCGTGCAAATCGAAAGATATATAAGGACTTTGGGGCACCATTTACATGAAATCGGACGAAACTATACATGGGAGCTATATCTAAATCTGGACCGATTTTCTCGAAACTTGGCAGACATAATTCTAGGCTCAATTCAGTACGTTATGCAAAATTTGGTGCAAATCGAAAGATATATAGGGACTTTGGAGCACCATTTACATGAAATCGGACGAAACTATATATGGGAGCTATATCTAAATCTGGACCGATTTTCACGAAACTTGGCAGACATCATTCTATGCTCAATTCAGTACGTCATGCCAAATTTGGTGCAAATCGAAAGATATATAGGGACTTTGGAGCACCATTTACCTGAAATCGGACGAAACTATATATGGGAGCTATATCTAAATCTGGACCGATTTCCACGAAACTTGGCAGACATCATTCAAGGCTCAATTCAGTACGTTATGCCAAATTTCGTGCAAATCGAAAGATATATAGGGACTTTGGGGCACCATTTACATGAAATCGGACGAAACTATACATGGGGGCTATATCTAAATCTGGACCGATTTTCTCGAAACTTGGCAGACATAATTCTATGCTCAATTCAGTACGTCATGCCAAATTTGGTGCAAATCGAAAGATATATAGGGACTTTGGAGCACCATTTACCTGAAATCGGACGAAACTATATATGGGAGCTATATCTAAATCTGGACCGATTTTCTCGAAACTTGGCAGACATCATTCAAGGCTCAATTCAGTACGTTATGCCAAATTTCGTGCAAATCGAAAGATATATAGGGACTTTGGGGCACCATTTACATGAAATCGGACGAAACTATACATGGGAGCTATATCTAAATCTGGACCGATTTTCTCGAAACTTGGCAGACATAATTCTATGCTCAATTCAGTACGTCATGCCAAATTTGGTGCAAATCGAAAGATATATAGGGACTTTGGAGCACCATTTACCTGAAATCGGACGAAACTATATATGGGAGCTATATCTAAATCTGGACCGATTTTCACGAAACTTGGCAGACATCATTCTAGACCTAATTGATTAGGCTATACCAAATTTCGTGCAAATCGAAAGATATATAGGGACCGTTTACATTAAATCGGTTAAATATATATATGGGAGCTATATCTAAATCTGAACCGATTTTTCCCAATTTCAATAGGGTTCGTCCTTGGGCCGAATAAGTGACCTATGCCAAATTTCATCTAAATCGGATTATAAATGCGACCTGTACTTTGTTTACAATTTAACACCAACAGACGGACAGACGGACAGACGGACAGACGGACAGACGGACGGACGGACGGACGGACATGCATAAATCGACTCAGAAAGTGATTCTATGCATATTCTCAAAAGGAACTATGGGTCTATCTCGTTTCCTTTTGCCTGTTACAAACATATGCACAAAGACATAATACCCTGTACCACAGTGTGGTGAAGGGTATAATTACTGTTGCAGTCTGGAATTGAGGATGTTTTAGAAACTCGTACTTACGTCTACGAAAAGTAATAAATGGTACTAAATTTAGTACAATTTGGATTTTGGTGAACGGATAGAGTTGGAATCTTCGTACTTATGGGTAAAAAAAAAACTAAATTTGGTGCAATTTGGACTTTGGTGGAATTAAGATCACTGTTAGAGTGTAGGATTGATGTTATTTAAAATATTTTTACTTATGAGTATGAAAAGTATTAAATTTGGTACAATTTGGTTTTGGGTGAATATATAGAGCTGGAATCCTGAGATTTGGAAAGTAGATTATTATTTAAGTGTAGGATTGAGCTATGGAAATTCGAGTTTATGTGTACGAATAGTACTAAATGGAACAATTTTCATTTGGGTAACAGAGAGAGTAG